GGGCTACATACAAAGTAAATACAATCAAATAGCCTATAGTAACATCCCATGCATTTGGATTATTGTGATTGTTCCAAATGTTCAATCTCGACCAAAAAACCAAAAACGAGGTAGACGACATACCCTTTATGAAGATATTTGCATATTGACACGATGATGGAACACACAACACCCGGATTTGATTGATGGTGATATTGTCTCGAATAAAGTAAATATTGATCTCATTGTGCTTGGTTTAGTGATATTGAACATGGTTGGTCGCTAAGTAAACCGCACTAACGTCGTCACAATAGGCAATGGTGGTATTGTCCGTTGGTTTGCAAAGATCAAGAAGAAGCTTGCGAATCCACACGTTTTGGCAACAACATTTTGCAACACCATCATATTCTGCTTCCGCACTAGATCGGGAAATGGTGCTTTGATTGGAGGTTACTTTCAAGGAACACACAATAGATCATCGTCTAGTGGTTGAACAACCTAGCCAATCAGCGTCTGAATAAGCCGTGAGACCACAGGAGGATGAGAAAAATAATTGCAGACAGAAAGTGGTGGTACCATGAACATAAAATACAATCCTCATAAGAGTCATGAAAGTGAGGTTGGTGATTTTAGTGTCACCATGTTGTTTTTATGTAAGTTGAACTAACATGTGAGTTAAGGGACTTCATAATTTGTACTCTAATATATGTATTGGTTTGTGTGGAGTGCACTCATGTATAAGATCGTATTAGAAACTGGTTTGACGACAAGTCGGGGGTTCGGGAGCAGCGTCCCTGGGTTCGGGGTTATACAATGGGACGGGGTTATACAATTGTGACAACTAACGTTGTCACAAGAGGGCCCGGGGCAGCGCCCCTTTGGCGGGGTCTAGCGGCAGAGCCCCTGGATGGGGTCCCGCCCCAAAAGGTCTCCGATTTTTATATATGAGACCATAGTGGGAAATTCACATTCTTGAGGGTGATTATGGTAAAACTAACGAAATTCGTTAGTTTTGGAAACCTTAAATCATCATTAAAATCGGAATTTCCCTAACTTGCTTCTAAAGCAACCCATGTCGGCAACCCTAAAAGAAACCCTAATCTCGTTTATTATATAAATGACTCTTCTCTTTGAGAAGAGATACACAAAAATTATTAGCTCTCTTTCATCAAATAAACAGAGAATCATTCTAGTAATTTGGCTTACGATTTCTATGCCTAGAATCCTAAGTGTCCTTTAGGATTATCCTAGGCTGAATTTCTTGCAACCCAGTCATAGGGTAGAAATATCAGTTCGAAAAATGTTCACACGATCCAAATGGTATTCAGATCTCCAACATAAACCCTAATCCTCCAACAAGAGAGGCTCTCGAGGATCATGCATATGAAGGCAATTTACTGAACAATTTGTATTATGTTGGGTGTGGTAATAATAAGGTTCTATAGTGCTCTTTCTAGGCTCTGGCTATGATACAACTTTGAATAAGAAACAAGAGAGTTTGTTGCATCAAGTTTTACTAAGGTGTCGAGCAATGAGAAAGTTTGCAATTGAGTATATTAACATGTTTGATAATCTCAAGTGCATATTTTGTAGAGACAAAAACATGTCATGTTGATCTTCCGTAACAACAATGCCAAGAAAGAAGTTAAGATCCCCAAGGTCAATCATGGAGAACTCAATTCCCAATGTCACTATGAATCTATGATGTGTTGCAAAAATTCAGGCAACAATGCAGTTTTCTAGTGAGCCAAGACCCATATGCATTAACTTTTTGGTTATGAAGTTGGTTCGTTGGTTGTCCCTCCACTAGCAGTATAGAGCGAGTTTCAACAAAGGTGGGAAGAGGCGTTTGATGACAAAATAGGCTTGCAATGTAGTCGAATATGGGGACAAAAGCAAAGGAACTGAAACCATGGGGACAAATGTGTAGATATTTTCATTGTTGTTCTCAAAGAACTAGTTGTTAGGGGTAAACAAAAACCGAATCGAAACCGAAACAAAAACTGATGGACTGATTTATAGCTTTGCAAAAACCGAAAATTTTCGGTACGATTTAGATATATATACCGATTGAAAAAAAACCTGAACCACATCGCAATGTGACACCAGACTGCAAACTCCAAGTAAATACGAACTGAACTGCTATATTATATATAAATAATTATATATTTATATTTTATATGTAATAAGAAGTATTTAATTATTAATATATATTTCACTGCCCTAAAATTTGACATCATTCTTCAGCATCGCCATTCGAAGGGTTTCACCTTGCCGGCACCAACTAGCCATGGTTTGATTCTTGAAATACATGGTGT